GAAGGCCTTCCATCGTCTGGAAAAGCATGTGGCAGTGATTGCACACCGGTTCACCCTGAAAGCTATCACGGCTCTCATGCCAAACTGAGCTCACCAGCTTGTGTTCCTGTTGCAAGTGGCGGTGCATCTCCTGAGTCGTGGCACATTGCTGGCCACAGATTTCACATTGCAGTCCATCAGGAGGTGATTCCACAGCACCATGCGTGGGCTTAGGGCCATGCACTATCAACAAGGCTACCTGAAACCAGACATTGCAAGAGTGTGACGAAATGAAAGTCACTCCGCAGGCAGAGCATGGTGTTTCATCGCTATGCAAGTTGGTCAACTGGGTTGCCTTCGTCTGCACCAGGGAGCTATATGCATTGTGCATCATTCTCACATGTTGATGCATTGCCTGAGCCCTACCAACGTACTGACCGCAAAGCAGGCAGTGTCTGGACAGGTATGAGCAACCAGCCCGTTCACGCAGCAGGTCAGGCCAGCGACGCTGGTGAATCAGGGTCAGCAAACGGGGTCCAAACTCATGGCGGTGAATCGCATCCATCTCATGCTTGGTCAACTTCAAAGTTGATCCTGCAGGCTGGGTATCAGCAGTCCGAGTGGCAGGCTGGCTCATCGACTGCTCAGGAAATGGTGCCACAGGTCGGGCAGTGCGCAAAGCCACAGTGTCAGCCTGGCATCCCCGTTGCACATGAATATGAAAGGATCTCCATGTTGTGAATGCAGCATGACACAGGGTGCATTGTGGCAAACCATGATGCATATAATGGGAAGGATCTGGTACATGTTGGCGATATCGAGTGATGCCATGTTCAACTGTCAAGTGGCGTCGCAAAACAGGCAAATGAACAGAGGAAAACTCACAATGAGGGCATCGATGCTCAAATGGCCAAACGGCCTCGTCTCCTGGCATCACAGGTCCGTGGACTACCAAACCTAGGTCAAGTTCATGCTGGATCAAATCCTTCATGCTTTGCAAGGGTGTCCAATCCAGTTGAGTGCTCAGATCATCTGCATGCCGATACAAGGGGGGCTTGGTAACAGACCGATGCAGAGAGTCAGCAGCTCTCCATAGCAACCGCAGCGGGGATTCAAGGTTATGAAATGTCAGTGCATCTGCATGTGTCCTACCTGTGGTAAAAGCATGATCATGATGAACTTGTCGCAGCATCGAAAACATGGTCTGCTGCAGCAGCTGCAAACAGGTTTTGGTGAGGCCGACAGTGAAAATGCCATATGTCAAAATTGGAAGTACACATGTTGTCCACAATCGCATGCGTGCATCTGCAGCAAGACCCCGTCTGGCGGTGAGCCAGCGCTTCAGGCGGTTGAAGGCAAGTTTTGCAAGGCTCAATCTGTGTCTGGTGGTGGCAAGTTCAAACTGCTGATAGCTAATCAGGGTGCCAAGATATTTGGTTTGCTTGACAACCGGAAGCACAAACTCCTGCACGCATCCTCTGATTTTGATCCATTCTCCTTCATGATCGCGAGAGGTCAGTGCCGAACGGACATGGCGGTAGCTGGTGCCACCCATGGTGAGGAGAATTGCTGATTTGGAAGTGTTGATGGTCAATCCTTTGTTTTGCAATGTTTCCATGATCAGGCCAAAATAGGAGAGAATGCGTTGCAGTTCATCACTGGAGTAAAAGAGGCAACAAGCATGTATGTCGTCTGCATAGACATTCATGTGATCCCGCAACCACCGCCAGTCTATCAAATGTGCAAGGTCTCTGAGGTACAAGAGAACAAAGGCATTAAATAGCCAGGGTGCGCCCTTACATCCCTGGCGTACGCCAGCCCCTACTTCAATTGGTGTGGTGCTGCCATTGACTTCAACATGATATGAAGTGTATTCATGCCATCTGGCCAGCATGTGCACCACCCTCGGGTTGTCAAGGACTTCATGCAGCCTCCCAAACAATTCAGCACGACTTACACTGTCAAAGGCCTTGCTAAGGTCTAAGAAGAGCTGAATGGCTCCACATACTTGGTACATGGGGAGCTGCTGATGTCTGTGAAAAACCGTCGGTTTTTGGGAGGCAACAAGGGAGCGTCCAGCCTTGCAATGTGCAGCAACCCGAAGCAATGCATGTTGAGTGCTACGAGTTGGCAAATATGCCCATAAAGGCCAAACCAGCAGCTGAGCCAATGAGTCCTTTTGGGCAAGTCTGGCAAGCAGTCCCATCACAGCCTTACCTATAGGTTCCTGGAGCGCCAAGGGCCTCAAGGAGCCCGGATGACTTGGTTTCTTCAATGGTTTCGGGATGAGCAAAAGCCAGGCGTCTCTCCAGCAAGCTGGGACTACTGGCTCAGCTTGCGTCCAGAGCTGTTGCAAAATTCTGTACAAATGTCCCGCTAAAAGGTGCGAGTGAGCATGCCAAATCAGACCAGGGCTGAAAGGCTTGGCAACAGCCTTGGAGATGGGTATCTCGCGCAGCGCCCGGCTGAGCTCCTCTAAGGTGAACGGAAGTCCTGTCATGTCACAAGGCACTTTGGGGACAGTTGGAGATCCCTTCCAGGTACAGCGCACAAATTCATGCATGATTGCCTGTTCTTCTACAGGGGATGCAAGGTTCCCATGCATGTTTCTGATTTGCAATCTACACTTGGGCAATTTCGGAGCAAAGCGATTGATGACTTGAAACAGTTGATAGCTATCGTGCTGTCGAGCAGCAAGTTGGGCTTGATCAAGAATCAAATCAAATTTTTGCTTGCGTACCAAAAAAGCATGTTTCTTGTGGGTTCTCCGGAGTGCATGAAATCTTGCAATATGAAACCACGCTCTGAACACATTTCTCGGGGATGGCAATTGCAGTTTCCTGCATTGATCCCTGTGCCTCCATTTGTCCATAATGACCGATCTGGTAGCATCCACAGGGGTGTCAGCAGTCTGTCGAGGCAAGGATGGAAAGGAAGCATTGAAAACATTCCCTGCAATCTGATGCAATTCAGAAAAAAGGTTGGGATCCCTTGGATCAGCCTGGGCAAGATAGGCATCAATACGCTCAGCTGAGGCCGTCATGAACTCGTGCCACTCTTTGGTTTGTGCAGCATGGGCCAGTCTGCCAGCAGCCCGTTGTTGTGCAGAGATGCCTGATGTGGTGTCCGTCGCTTGTGGTGGAATCCAATGCCTTCTCAACTGTCCCACCATGGGAAAATGTCCAAAGTGATCAACCGCAAGAAAAGGGGTCTGGTGCAAAAGTTTGACATCTTTAGCCAACCCATCCGCCAGGGGCAATCGTGTAAAGGAGAAATCAATCCGTGAGCAACCATTATATCCCCTAAAGGTGGGGCCCTGAGCATGTGACCATGAGTTCAACGCAACCAATTGATGTGCTTTCACAAGGGCCAGAAAATCACCTGAATCAGGGTGAGAGGGACCCTGATGATGAGTCCGATGCCATAGGAAGCCATCACATCCCACGTGGCCATGAGCCGCAGGAAGGCTGCAATTGAAATCTCCTGCCAAAAGAAGGACATTCCTCTTGGGGAGCGTGCTAAGATATCTATCTAAACATGTCCACCAGGTCTGGCGTTCATGGAGCCTGGATCTACTGGCCATGAAGGTATGCTGATAACACGCAACCAAGTCAAAGCATCTCTGGGAAAAACGAAGCTGGGCATGAACAATCCTACCTGGTGCAACCTCTGTCCATCTGAAGGAGGTGGGTTTGCAAACATGTGACGCAATCATGAGTAGGATACCAGCTCCTGTCTGTGTCGGATGCCCAGAATGCACATGCATCCAATGAGGATCACTCCACTCGTTGGAAAATTGCCATCTGGTCTCCGGGATAATCAAAATGTCAATGCATTGACCTCGACACCAGAGTTTCAGTTCGTCCAGGCGATGTTGGCTCAGGCCACCTCCGTTCCAACACAAATAGCGCAGGTAGCGCTTATTCTGATGTCGGGCGTTGCATTTGGATTGATCAGAGACCGCAGGAGTGGGTCTCGGCTTTACATGGGCATGATCAGCAGCAGTTGCTGCAGGCACAGCAGTCGTTTTGAAGTCACCAGCCGTGTAGCATTTGCCTCTGTACCAGCAGGTGCCATCGCGCTGGGCACGTTTGATGGCTCTTTTTAGGCTTCTTTTCTTCACCGCATCCATGGACGGCCGTAGGTAGCCGTAGCTGCTTGTTGGCTGAGTTCCACGTGTCTTTGCACCAAACTGGTGAATAAGAGCCTCTTCCCATGTGAGAGGTGCTCCAGCGGTTTCCGTGGTTAAACCGCAACCCTCACCCCCACTCCAGACGTGTGCAGGCATGTTCAAGCAAGATATCCAAACCAAAAGGCAAAATTGGAAAATCTTAAAGGCTCTGGAGTGCCCGGACTTGGGACCGGGAATGCAGTCAGCTTTCAGCACAGAAGCGGACTCACTAGCCAGGAAGAATCTTGGTGTGATCGTTCCCCCAACAACACAGAGAGCAAAAGATGTTCTGAATTGTGAAATTGCAAATGTACAAATCAAAAGTAAACTGCTCACTGGGCACCAATACGTATGAATGGATCTGATGGCAGTGAGAAGACCAAAATGCCAAGCTCCGTTTTGTGCAACAACACTTTTTCTGTCAGCAACAGGCAAGATGGATTCGGCCAGAATGCGCGCAAAAAGTCCACCCGTCCACCAGTCAGCCAAAATGTAAATAATGAAAACGGTGTAAACCAAGGGGACCCCAACCGTGTGTGGCTCTGTCTGTGCGTCTGTGTGTCTGTGTGTCTGTGTGTCTGTGTGTCTGTGTCTGTCTGTGTCTGTGTCTGTGTCTGTGTCTCTGTCTCTGTCTGTGTCTGTGTGTGTGTGTGTGTCTGTGTGTGTGTGTGTCTTTGTCTGTGTTTTTTTTTGCGCACACGCCTTTTCAACTGCAAGGTCAATGCCAGCCAAACGTCAAACTGTGTTGACGGTCCCTTTCGGAATCATTCATGGCCACATGGAAAAATGAAAATGGGTGAAAAAATTGAAAGAAGCCGCAGGCAAAAGAGCTGGATCTGCCATGGAAGTTTCACGTGCTTGGGTCCGTAAGCATGTCCAAAAATTCAGTCACTGAGGTTCGAGGCAGCTGCATGTCCTGTCGGTAAAATGGCAGGCGAATGGAATCTGATCTCGCCAGCCAAACCAACGTCACATTCTCAAGCAACCAATCTTGGAGGGTCCAGACCGCCTCCGGTGCACGCCAGTCATCTGTGACCAGCCATTGAATGGGATTTGTGTGATTTTGGACCATGGGACGAAGACGCAAAGCAGCCCTGTAATGCCCGGAGCCATCATGTCCCAGATGAGCCATTGCCGCAATGACAGTGTAGGCATGAAAATCACTCTGAATCGTCCCATCTGCAAAGACCGGAAAGAAACACTCTTCATCAAGCTGAATCCTGCTCAGGCACTTGTGAACTGTCATATCTGGGCCCATCACGCATCTGTCCACGTGAGCGCAGATACAGGTGGTCGGATGGAGCAGAGCCGTGTGCATCCCATCCACCTGCTGCCAGGTGCCGATCAGTGAATTCATGGAGCAATGTGGCAAGAGAATCTGGGTTTCATCAAACTTCAAGCAAATCGGAGCATATGGTTCATGGCTAGAATCAAGCGTATGAGTATATTCTGTCACTGTCATCCGCTTTTCCCACTGCATTTGGAAGGCAGAAGACTGTAGCTCATTCAGCCAAACTTGAACAAACTCCGAAGAGTCCTGTTGAGAAATTGAAGAGGACATCTGTCCAAGCGTATCTCGTCCCCAGCAACGCGTGAGATCTTGGAAGAAAACTTGGGTGGCAAGAGAGTTGTGTTTTGGCAGTGCCCAAAAACCGCATGATCTCATGGCATTGTCTACCCCAAAGCTCAGGTGTGTAGCAGCTCAGATTCAGGACCGTCCAAAACAAGGAGTACGCCGCAGCATTGCAGAAGCACCAATTGTTCGGGTTGGTAAGGACCATATGGGACACAATGTGTGTCAACTCACCAGGCTGCATGTGAAGGTCACCAGTCAAGGCGCTGGTTTGGCCTGGTTGGCCTTGTGACCCTTCCCTTTCTGCTTCCCTTTCCCCTGTCCCTTGGGGCGGAGTCCCAGATTCTGCTCGATGGTGGCCGCCAGGGAACTCTGGTACAGGTTGTGCTGCTTGAGACTGGTGGCCAAGAGCGTCCAGACCTGGGAGTACGCAAGATGGAGCATGAGTTCGTAGGTCCTGGCCTCCCGGGATGACATCTGAAGTCTCCATGGTGTCACTGCTGAGTCCGGTTTTGCCGGCAGTGAGTGGAACTTCTGAATCAAGGTTGGATCCTTGAAGCCGTCCTGGAGTTCCAGACAGTGCTCGCTCATTTTGGCCAGACTGACGGGCGTCTTCTGTGAGACCTGGAGCTTCTGTTCCTGCGGGTTCCATTCCATGAATGGTATGGTCTTGTTCTCCAAGAGAATCCTGGAGCTCTTGGCCGCCTCCATCAGTGGGGAATCCTCCGGGGCCTCCAGAAGCTTGTGGACCCGAGTCGTCAGCGCTGTGAGCAGGGTCTGGAGCAAAACCTGGCGCAGGGGTCTCTTCCACGTCGATGCATTCTCCGTGGATGCTTGATGCCAGGTCTCCGCCTCTTGCAGCATCAGTGGGAGAACGCCCTTTGGATCCTTGCAGCTGAAGTAGAAGATGAATGTTGTCTCTCGATGGATCACCTGCAAGTCTCGGTCCACCCGAAGCAGCAGCTTGGCCATCAGGATCAGCAGTTTTTGTTGGTCGAGATGGGCGTCTTGCCCGTGCCCCTGCTGAGAGCTTTCTTCTTTTGGCTTTATGGCCCCGTCCTGTCTGCGTTGTCGTTTGGGCGCCGCTGGGTTGGGAGAAAGCTTCAGCCCTGTGTCCAGCATCGGCGCCAGGTTTTGGAAGGTCTGCAGCATCTGGCTCAAGGCTCCCTCTTGGCCCATCTGCCAATCTTGGAGTTCCATGATGAACGTGTGTGAGCAATAACGCAAGTTGCAAAATGCTCGGACACTGAGCTCGCAAGTGAGCTTGAACCAGCTGCTGTCTGGATGGGCAGGTTTGGGACGCAGGCTCAACAGCCGGTGTATTGAAATCTGGCCACATGCAAAACAGGCACAATCATTGTCACTGTGATCCATGGCATGTTGAAGCAGTTGTGCAACATATGTCTTTACAACCGGATGCATTCCCTGGTGTGCCTCATGCAAATGATAGAAAAGATCCATCGCCAGCAGGTCAATGCCACAAAAGAAGCAAGTGCTGCTGCAGGCATCCAAAAGCAAGGCATCTGTCCAGAGCGTCCCAAGGTCGTACCGCAAGAGAGCCTGTTCCACTGCGCAGCGCAAATCAGCAGGAATGTGCTGTGGGAGAGCCCTGGCTAGTTCGGTCATGGTCAGCTTGGCCGGCATGAAGATGGCCATGGGAAGCCGGTGGAATTGCATTGCCAGTTGCCAAAATGGCAGGCATATATGTTGCAATCGAACCACATTGCAAGACGGGTTGCAAATGCAGCCCAAGGTCTTGTAGTACCTCTGGACCATGTAGTGCACCAACGGCTGGGCCTCATTCCAAAGGCTGGAGTGAGAACTTTGCAAGTGGGCCGACAGGTCCGCAGATCGAGTGCATCGTTTGGGACAGCATTGGCAATGCAGTGTCAATCTCATCCTGTTGCGGGAGTCCGACAAAATTGACTCAAACTGTCCATTGCAGCAAGCTGATTTCCATGTGCTCAAGACTGCTGAAGGCATTGTAGAGGCATCTGGGTCATATTGCAAGCAGCGCCCCTGGTTGATGTGGCTACGAAGGCCTTCCATCGTCTGGAAAAGCATGTGGCAGTGATTGCACACCGGTTCACCCTGAAAGCTATCACGGCTCTCATGCCAAACTGAGCTCACCAGCTTGTGTTCCTGTTGCAAGTGGCGGTGCATCTCCTGAGTCGTGGCACATTGCTGGCCACAGATTTCACATTGCAGTCCATCAGGAGGTGATTCCACAGCACCATGCGTGGGCTTAGGGCCATGCACTATCAACAAGGCTACCTGAAACCAGACATTGCAAGAGCGTGACGAAATGAAAGTCACTCCGCAGGCAGAGCATGGTGTTTCATCGCTATGCAAGTTGGTCAACTGGGTTGCCTTCGTCTGCACCAGGGAGCTATATGCATTGTGCATCATTCTCACATGTTGATGCATTGCCTGAGCCCTACCAACGTACTGACCGCAAAGCAGGCAGTGTCTGGACAGGTATGAGCAACCAGCCCGTTCACGCAGCAGGTCAGGCCAGCGACGCTGGTGAATCAGGGTCAGCAAACGGGGTCCAAACTCATGGCGGTGAATCGCATCCATCTCATGCTTGGTCAACTTCAAAGTTGATCCTGCAGGCTGGGTATCAGCAGTCCGAGTGGCAGGCTGGCTCATCGACTGCTCAGGAAATGGTGCCACAGGTCGGGCAGTGCGCAAAGCCACAGTGTCAGCCTGGCATCCCCGTTGCACATGAATATGAAAGGATCTCCATGTTGTGAATGCAGCATGACACAGGGTGCATTGTGGCAAACCATGATGCATATAATGGGAAGGATCTGGTACATGTTGGCGATATCGAGTGATGCCATGTTCAACTGTCAAGTGTCGTCGCAAAACAGGCAAATGAACAGAGGAAAACTCACAATGAGGGCATCGATGCTCAAATGGCCAAACGGCCTCGTCTCCTGGCATCACAGGTCCGTGGACTACCAAACCTAGGTCAAGTTCATGCTGGATCAAATCCTTCATGCTTTGCAAGGGTGTCCAATCCAGTTGAGTGCTCAGATCATCTGCATGCCGATACAAGGGGGGCTTGGGAACAGACCGATGCAGAGAGTCAGCAGCTCTCCATAGCAACCGCAGCGGGGATTCAAGGTTATGAAATGTCAGTGCATCTGCATGTGTCCTACCTGTGGTAAAAGCATGATCATGATGAACTTGTCGCAGCATCGAAAACATGGTCTGCTGCAGCAGCTGCAAACAGGTTTTGGTGAGGCCGACAGTGAAAATGCCATATGTCAAAATTGGAAGTACACATGTGTGTCTCTGTCTGTGTGTGTGTGTGTCTCTGTCTGTGTGTGTGTGTGGCTCTGTCTGTGTGTCTGTGTGTGTGTCTGTCTGTGTGTGTGTGTCTGTCTGTGTGTGTGTGTGTCTGGTGTGTGTGTCTGTGTGTGTGTCTGTGTGTGTGTCTGTGTGTGTGTCTGTGTGTCTGTGTGTGTCTGTGTGTGTCTGTGTGTGTCTGTGTGTGTCTGTGTGTGTCTGTCTGTGTGTCTGTGTGTGTCTGTGTCTGTCTGTGTCTGTCTGTGTCTGTCTGTGTCTGTCTGTGTCTGTCTGTGTCTGTCTGTGTCTGTCTGTGTCTGTCTGTGTCTGCCTGTGTCTGTCTGTGTCTGTCTGTGTCTGTCTGTGTCCGTCTGTGTCTGTCTGTGTCTGTCTGTGTCTGTCTGTCTGTCTGTGTCTGTCTGTCTGTCTGTCTGTCTGTGTCTGTGTGTGTCTGTGTGTGCGTGTGTGTCTGCGCGTGCGCGTGCGCGTGCGCGTGCGGGTGCGCGTGCGGGTGCGGGTGCGGGTGCGGGTGCGGGTGTGGGTGCGTGTGCGTGTGCGTGTGCGTGTGGGGTGGGTGTGGGTTTGGGGTGGGGTTGTGGGTGTGGGGTTGTGGGGTGTGGGTTGTGGGGTGTGTGGGGTTGTGGGGTTGTGGGTGGGTGGGTGGGTGATTGTCATTGTGGGTGATTGTGGGTGATTGTGGGTGATTGTGGGTGATTGTGGGTGATTGTGGGTGATTGTGGGTGATTGTGGGTGGTTGTGTGTGTGATTGTGTGTGATTGTGTGTGATTGTGTGTGATTGTGTGTGATTGTGTGTGATTGTGTGTGTGTCTGTGCGTGTCTGTGTGTGTGTCTCTCTGTGTCTTTCTGTCTCTTTGTGTCTCTCTGTGTCTCTCTGTGTCTCTCTGTGTCTTTCTGTGTCTCTCGGTGTCTCTCTGTGTCTTTCTGTGTCTCTCGGTGTCTCTGCTTGTCTCTGTGTGTGTCTCTGCTTATCTCTGCTTGTCTTTGTGTGTATCTGTGGGTCTGTGTGTGTGTGACGCTGTGTCTGTGTGTCTGTGTGTGTGTCTGTCTGTGTTATTGTGAAGCTGTGTCTGTGTGTCTGTGTGTCTGTGTGTCTGTGTGTCTGTGTGTCTGTGTGTCTGCGTGTGTGTGTGTGTGCGTGTGTGTGCATGTGTGTGTGTTAGTGTGTGTGTTAGTGTTAGTGTTAGTGTTAGTGTTAGTGTGAAACTGTGTTTGTGTGTGTATGTGTGTGTATGTGTGTGTATGTGTGTGTATGTGAAGCCGAATAAATGCACAATTTCCACCTATTTACCCTAGCGCGCTGGGGGGCAGAAAGGGCATATGAGGCTCCACCCAACGAAGCTCCTCATATGATCCTAGGATATCAAAGGCGCCTGGCGACGTACCAGCAAACCAATCTCAATTTCACATTTCTCGTCGATCGCAACTGGCTAAGTGCAGAACCGGCATGAACTGGCATGTCGAAATCTTATAGCGCATTGTATGATCTGGGTTGTTTACGGGACAAGATCGTGATGTAGGGATATTCTTCATGGTTATCGGAATTTACCTTTGTCGATCTACTCAGGTTCGGTTATCATGTTGTGTTCTTGCTTACAGCGAATCAATTCCCAACAGGTCACCTCACTGATCTTATTTTTGCCTGGTGTGATTTCCATGGTGGCCCCGACATGGTGCCATAGACCCATCTGAGAAAACACTCTTTGGGGTGAATGTTCACAATCGGACTTCTGAAATTAAATTTCTAATTTAGTAATTTCTCTCGGTAATGTGAAACATTCGGCCCTACCATTTTGGACCATTTGCTGATGTCCCCGCCCCCGCTGTCCTAGTTTACTCCAGAAAACGCGAGCGATTGCTTGAACAGTTTTCAACAAATTTGTGGACAGTTGCATGCATACAGGCATGATACATCATTTGAAGCCTTGGCTGTTATGTTTTGTGTTTTTTTTTCCCTTGGACCCCCGGGACCTCAAAAATGTAACTTATTCCTCGGGTCTGACGTTCCACAACACATTAATTTCTCAAAAATCATTTTATTCTAGTGGTCATATTCAAATCAGGAAAACAAAACTTGAACATGTAATACGTATTACATGCTCAACTTTACATAGCTGATATACACTAAATTGAGCCAATCAAATTAACAAATATAACCTCAAAAATGTAAGGTCCAATTTTGAAGTTTCATATGCGATCAGGTGTCGAAACCCGAAAAATGTAAGTTCTAATTTTGAAGTTTTATTTGTGGTTTGATTCGCTAAATTTTGAAGGTTTGCACCAGGACCATCCCAAACTCTTCATAGCCTTCTTGCGGGGCAGGTGGTAGATACAATCAAACGCTGGTTGGCAACAAATTCCGTTTTTTGATTTTGTTTGGCGTTTCGTGGTGTAGGTGGAGAGGGATGAAAAACGTAAAATTGCCATTTGGGTTCCCATACTGTGTTCTTGAAAACTGACTAACCCCTACCCCTAACCCCGTGGAAATTGACTCCATCTATTTCAATGTTTCAACATACTTCCCCTCCAGACCCTTCACGTTAGGGGTCAACTGGAATTATGTTATTGATGTTATTGGTGAGATGGACCAGTTGTGCATTTAATTCATGAAGAATTCACACCTGTTTATACCTGTTTAAGGCTGATCAACTATGGTCCCTTTAGGATAATAGGGCCCGATCCTGCATATTGGAGATGAATACAAATTGAATTTTCTCCTCATTGGTCCCGATTATTTTTGTGCGTGCTCTGTGCGTGGCAGGTCCGTTACGCCGTGTAGGTTGGTTCTGGAAATCCGTTTTTTTCTTTCCCCCCCGCGCCGTCTTCTTTTTTTGCTCATCGTGTGACAAAAAGTTTCTTTCCTTTTGCCTTTTCAGAGTAGGCCCGGCCTCGGCCGGGGGTGTGTGTATGTGAAACATCTGAATGGATGTAAAACTTCTAGCCATACAGCAAGGGGTGGATGCATGGTCTGGCAGTCATCCACCAACGAAGACACTGCCTTTCCATGGTGATATGGCGAAGGGACGCCTTTGTCACGTACCTGCTTCATTTTCGGACATGGGATGTGACCAACCCAAGAACCACCATGCCATTTCCAAATTTCCTTGCTTTCAATGTTTTCGATTTGCACGGTCTTCGCAATCTGTCAACTTATTTCGTCTAGCACTCGTGTCACGGACTTTTCACGGTCCAGATTTTGTGGGAAATTTCAAGTAGGTACTTTCACTAGATCATATTCTGTGTTGTATTTGGTGACATCATGATCTAAGATGCAGACGTTTGTGCAGAGCCCGTGCTCCCAGGCGCATTTTACTAGCATCGAATTGAACCAAATTGCCTTTTTATCCACCTATCTATTGACCATGATTTCCCAACATGACATGTGAGCTTCCTGGACAAAGTATGTAAAATGGTTATAAACATAGCTATAAATTACTTTACTTCGTGTGATCCCCACCGTGACATTTTTACATTTTCTTACTGGCAAATCTTCTTGCATTCTATCTGACATATCTTCTGGCATTCTATCTGGCAAATTTTCTGGCATTCTTTCTGGCATTCTATCTGGCATATCTTCTGGCATTCTATCTGACATATCTTCTGGCATTCTATCTGGCATATCTTCTGGCATATATTCTGACATATCTTCTGGCATTCTATCTGGCATATCTTCTGATATATCTTCTGGCATATCTTCTGGCATTCTATCTGGCATATTTTCTAGCATATCTTCTAGCATATCTTCTGGCATATCTTCTGGCATACTATCTGGCAAATTTTCTGGGGTTCTATCTGGCATATCTTCTGGCATATGTTCTAGCATATTTTTTGGCATTCTATCTGGCATATCTTCTGGCATATTATCTGGCAAATCTTCTGGGATTCTATCTGGCATATCTTGTGTCGTTCTATCTGACATTTTATCTGGCATACCTTCTGGCATTCTATCTGGCATACCTCATGGCATTTTATCTGGCATATCTTCTGGCATTCTATCTGAAATTCCATCTGGCATATCTTCTGGCATTCTATCTGGCATATCTCATGAGGTCCGGCAGGGAACACTTGGCGTGGATACTCGCGGTTGAGGTCCGGCAGGGAACACTGGGCGTGGATGGTCGTGGTTGAGGTCCGGCAGGGAACACTGGGCGGGGATGGTCGTGGTTGAGGTCCGGCAGGGAACACTGGGCGTGGATGGTCGTGGTGGAGGTCCGACAGAGAACACTGTGCGTCGAGGGTCGCGGTTGAGCAGGAGGAGGAGGAGGAGGAGAGGAGAGGAGGAGAGGAGCAGGCAACTGACATAAAATCTAACAACCCTCACCTGGCAGGTGGGGAAA